GCACTTTTTTGGGAAATGCTCCACTGTAATTAGCCCAAAGGGTCCCAAGGGCGCAAACAAGGAAGAAAGACATATTACAAAACGCACGTAAACATATGTACACATATTCCCTTACAATATAAGCCAAAATTTAATTGGTTATGGCATCTTTACTGTAACTCAGAGCTGTAAAACATTGAGTTAACTGTATGTAAAATTGGATATTTATTATCTCAGAAAGTACAAGGTATTACTCAGACCTGTGAGTAAAGCATTGAGTTGACTTTATCTGAAAATTGTGACCACTTTTCTCCCTCATGACCCCCTTTTAGCTTCTCTATGGGTCCTGTGGACCCCAGTGTGGAAAATCCTGGTAAGAAATTTGCACAACTGTATTCTGTAAGTTTCATCTTCAGCTGTAAGGATCCTTTATTATTATCATTATTATTATTATTATTATTATTATTACTATTATTATTATTATTATGATCATTATTATATCAATAACATTATTACCTTATATCTGTTACTCTTTGTGGTATTCCTACATTACTATTACACATGTTGTCACTCGCAACACCGGCAGTAGAAGAACTTGGAACTTCCATGTCTGATGCTATTCCAGTGTTTATTGAACTTGACCCCTGCAGGGTGTTAACATAAGAAGATGGAGAAGGAGAAAATGTTTCACCTTCATTACTGTTTGATTGCATTTGTATTGAGGGATTTTGCCGCAAAGAGAAAAGCCCTTCATACTGAATGGTACTCGAAGTTGCTGAATTTGAAACATTTCGCTGCGGCTGTCCTTGGCGATGATTTAACATATCTAAGTTTCTAGACAGACCAACACGCTCATTTCTTTGTTGTGGAGCTGGGAACTGAGGGCCTCGTAGAGAGTATCTTAAACCATTTTGATGATTGTTTACTGGATTGAGATTTCTTGCCAAAGGAACATGTTGTGCTCCTCTTTGCTGATTCGAGGGGGAAAATGAGTCCTCGTTATCCCATGAAATAGTTCCATACGGGATGCTGTTGTTATTATCCATCGTGCTGGTGGTGTGTCTGTCAAATGGCGCCGGCGAAAACTTGAAATTTTCATACGCGAAGGTTAGTAAATGGGACGGTTTTGCTTATCGTAGTAAAATGAACAATAGCAAGGAGAAAGGGTATTCATAATACACAAAATTTGTCCTTTTCTTAAGTAGAATTATCCAATCATATCAAACATGGCAAATCCTTCAGAACTACAATTTCAAATAGTCGCACGCAAAGAAATGTCAATAAGTAAGGGAGGGGTGAGTCAGGTCCATGTTTTCGAAAAATGTAGAAAGAGTGAAAAAAATTATGTGGTAAGAATTAAATTACTTGAAAAGAATATATTTTTTTTATTGAGAGTGGTTATTAAAAACGATGATATATGTTTAGTAGAATCTATAAAACGGGTTTTTGACTTTCGATAGCATCCCCTAACCGGACCCTGTAAGGTAGGCTAATTTATTATCTTGGTAATATCGCAGGCTCAAGACCTCTCATTCCAAGATGGCGACCAAAATGACGAGTTGCATCTGTTGTTTGCGACAGGTTTCTCGGCTTTGCCATCCAATCCTCTCGGACAATTCCCATTATTTCCTCAGAAAAGGATGCTTAGTACGCTTTATGAGCAGCAGTTACAGTTATTTATGGTCAAAAAGAAGAGATTTGCCCTTGTTTCCAGTTGCTCGTAAGACAGTATTTGGTGCAGGAGTGAAAGTGAATTGCAGATTTTCGAGTTCAACAACCGCTGATGAACCTCCAGAGCTAAGTAAGGGAATCATTATCAGGTAGTTTACACTTGCAGCTATTTTTAATCAATTTTTATCTCTACCTCACTTCCATCAAGTCGTGCACTACAGGTCGATTGTTAGACTGCATGCGCAAGCTCTAGAAGGGGGAAAGAGGAAAGGAAAGCACATAGCTTGCATGCAGGTGGCATATGATCTCTGCTCTAAGAACCCGCTGTAATATTATTTTCCCTGGGTTTTATAACTTGTTGGAATTTTTATCCATATAATTTATGGTGCCGCACATCAAACCTAGTAGACTGCGATCATTCCCTCAGGATGGTCACGCGAGCGAGGAAATCGAGTGCGCGAGCAGTCCCTCAGGATGGTCACGTGAGCGAGGAAATCGAGCAAAGTGAGCGGAAGTAAAAAACATTTTGCTTTCTCCAGTCCTGCCGAGCTTGGACTCGACTGACTGAAGAGGGACTGCTCGCAGTCTACAAACGTAGTAACTGTAATAACATGCCCTCACTCAAGGGCTCTACAGTAGAACCACGATTTAGTGAACTGCCAAGGGACTGGGGAAATTTGTTTGTTATATCAAGGGTTCATTATATCGAATACCTTGATTTAACAAATTTTTGAAAAAACGACCAAAATGTTTGTTATATTGAGGTGTAGTTAATAACTAATTTACAAAACCAAGCATTCCCAGATTTGAATAATAAATATTAGTGCAATAAAATTTGTTATTTAACGTCTATGTCTCAGTACTGAGCTGTATATAGCTGTGGCACTAGGAACTCAAGAACAGGCAAACAAAACTGCTTAAGACTCATCACATAAATGTTATCCTTGTCGGGCTGTTTGGCATTCATCTTTTATCACATGTCGAAATTTATTTGTTATATCAAGGTATATTTTGCGATTGCGCTTCTGGATTGTGTTTGTTATAATGAGGATTTCAATAAATCAAGGTTGATGAAATCGAGGTTCTGTTCCATAAACATTTTACTGTAATTTTGGTCGACTAAAGAAAATAGTTTGTTATTTCAAGGTCTTCATTATTTAGAGGTTCGTTAAATCAAGGTTCCACTGTGGTTTTGATTTTCGCTTTTGAAGTCAACAAAATGTCAGAAAGGCCCTTTTGGGCAAAGTTTCAACTAATTTTGTTTCCAATTGTAGCCTTTGAAAGCCTTTCAGACTTAATAAGGGACAGGCTGCAAGAATCTGTAGGTCAAGGTTCCTTGGAAAACCACTTAATGCTTCTAGAAGCTTTGATCAAGCACTGGAAAGGAGAGGTTTTATCTGTTGCTGTCACAAGGATAGCACAAAATTGTAAGTCATTTTGGATACTATTTTGGTTGTTAAACATTCACACCAAAAATTCAATGGAGAAGTATCTGTCTTGTGCAGAACATAAAAACAAGGTTTTTTTCTGTTTTAAATCTACCAGTATATTTTCTTTAAGGTGGCTTAAAAATTGTGTATGACGATAATTACTAATAACTGGTGAATTAATTGAGTTATTATGATTAGAACTTGTTTTTTAAAAAATTATTTATTCAATTTTATAATAATAACATCGTTAATATTTTTTCAGTACCTGCAAAGGATGTCTATAAACTTGCTGCACTTATTTTTGACACCCAGAAATCAGGTAAGAGACTTATAAAATTAATACAAAATTAATTTTTACTTCCCCATGCAGTTTCACATGTATTATAAAAAAATGTTATAATCCTGCTAATTGGCTTTCAGTTTTGAAATGACATGTACAGTTTTGAAATAACATGTACATTACCCTATTAATGCTAAAATCAGTGCTGCTGGTAGGTAATAAAATTAGAGAATTTCGTTACAAATATAATTACGGTAAATGATCGATTAAGCGGCGCGGCTCTTATTTCATTTTCCCTGTTATAAGTATGGTGCCTATACAAGAGCTGCGCTTTTTCCAACTACAGACAAAACACTAGAGAATTAAGTGAGGTGCGCTCTGCACAATTTAATGTGAAATATGTGCACCTTGAACTGTTACATGAACCCGTTTTCAGGTGTTTCCAACTTTAGAACTCATGAGTTGGTTGAGGTCTTATTTCTTAAGTGATATGGTTTTGATATCTCTTTATATCAAGCTCCATAACAAAGGTGGGGCGTAGTCTCAACTAAAAAGTTTTCCTTACCTTTGCAGTTGGAAAAGCTGCAGTTGAATTGTCTGCACCATTATTTAGATTTGCAGCAATGGCTGGTGATACAGATGGAATGTACAGCTATGGCAAACTGCTGGAATCAGGTCAAGTACATGTATATGAGTTGGTGGGGAATTGGTTAAAATATCTGGGTGTAGTCAAAGGACATGGTGAAGAGTCCAAGCCACAATCATTACTCATTCAACTCAATCTTAACAGGGCACTTACCACAACTATTAACCAGGACTATTCAGCAAGATCAGTCTATTAATAGTGTGCACAGAAGTAATGGGTTTTATTAAAATATTGAGAGAAGACTAATATAGTAAAAACCAGTGACCAAGAACCAGGGCCCAGTTGTTCAAAGGGTGGATAACGCTATCCAGTGGATAAATCTCTATCCAAAGGATAGTGCAATCGGTTTTCCTAATACTTATTCGTGGGATAGTGATTTATCTGATGGATAGCGCTATCCAACGTTTGAACAACTGGGGCCTGGGTTTTAAGAACCTGTCAGGCTAAAATTTGCCAGTCAGGCCTCCTCTTTATAAGAACCTTTTTAGCCTAAAATTTAAAACAGGTTTTTATTCTCTACGATCTATTCAAACAATTCTGAACAATTGGGCAAATAAGTCAACATTCAGGATCCTCTTTGGAGACAGGTGCCTTGTCACTCCAACTGCAATGTAATGTAATTAATGTAATTATATAAGGAATAAGCTGAATATCACTAAATGCTCTTAGCTACAATGTATTTTTTTTCAGAAATCTAAATAGCCTAAATCTGTACTGTAAGTGCCATCCCAGTAAGAACCTAAGAACCTACACTGTACATGTATTTTGGCTAATTTGGGAAAATCCAGGTTGTTAGTTGCAGGTTTTTACTGTATTTCAATTTCAAAATGACCAGTATAGTGAGGCAGTTCTGACGTTTGGAAAGCACCTTTAACTTCATAGATAAACCCTAGTCAAACGTGACTCAATTAACTTTACATTAGGACTGAGCTATTTTTGACGGAGAGACCTTTCTTTTAGGAAGAGCCATGAGCGAGGTTTGTGATACACCAATCACTAAAAACCACGGTGATACAAATAGTTCTACTCAGTAAATCGACACTATCACCTGATGAAGATCTGCAGTGTGCGGTCGAAATGTCATGATCGATATCAAAGTGAAAATATTGTAGACAAACGATAAAACTAAACCCTTTATAGTGATGTAAAGTTAGTTGATCACTTCTTGCATGATAACAAAATTGGTAATTCCTGGCTGTATGAAAGAAACAATGCGTTATTGTGTCAAAACAAACAGTTTATGTTTACTTATTTAAGGAATTCACATAACCAGTACATTCTTTTTAACCTGATTATTAATTTTCACCCCTGCAGGGGAGGGTGGAGTGGAAGCAGACCCACTCGAAGCTGCAAAAATGTTCTCAGAGCTGTCAGAATGGGGGCACCCATTTGCCCAGGTAAAGGACAAAATTAACTTGTCAGAATCTAGCATACAGGTATCATGTCATTACTAACAACATGGTTTGAAAGTGTTTTATTTAAGTGTTAGATGGAAGTGTATTTAGCATGATGTGCCACTACTGAAAACAGTTTTTACATGCCCTGCTGTGAAGGAGACCACCATTTTGTCAAATACATGGTCATAAAAAAGCCAACTTCAGGAAGCTAAGGACTGTCCATTTGCAGGGCAAAGGCCGTATCATATTCTTCTGTGATTTTAAGACCTTTGTTGTTGGTTTAGCCATTGGAATTGTACAACCTCCAGCTCTGCTGCCATCCCTACAACAGTTTAGACTCTTGCCAACATTTTCACTTTTCTTTCAGTTTTCCCTCGCACAATTATATCACAATGGTATTGGAATGACAAAGGACTTGAAGGTGGCACTAGGCTTATATGAGGTATATTCCAAGAAGAGTTCTAATTTACTAAAATTTACTTGAGTGTCTACTTGGGTGTCTAGAAATGAGCTAAGTGCCTTATAGCCCTATAATTTTACAGTTCAAGCTACAGGGCAAGTGTTAATTTACTACCCAGTGTATTCAGTTAAAAGCAGCTGCCCTGAATTGGCTCATACAGTGATGATTTAACAAGGGTTTGTTTTATAATATCATTGAAGCAAAAGGCTTATTATCAATATATTTGAAGAATATCGTAATAGATTTTGCTCAAAATAAACTACTGGTACTTTAAGACGAATTTTGAGTGCATGACTATAGGGCTTTGGTCTCGAAAAAACTTTGGTATTTTAGATGCCAGTAGGTTGTTTTCTTATGGAAGGTGGTTGCTTCATAGAGGTTGTCGCATATGGAGGCTTGTAGTCAGATTTAGTAAATTAAAGAAGAAATGCATGTCAAAACATATTAACCATGTAGTTTTTTTTTTCAGGTCAGTGCAGAGAATGGTGTTAGTGAAGCNAAATGAGCTAAGTGCCTTATAGCCCTATAATTTTACAGTTCAAGCTACAGGGCAAGTGTTAATTTACTACCCAGTGTATTCAGTTAAAAGCAGCTGCCCTGAATTGGCTCATACAGTGATGATTTAACAAGGGTTTGTTTTATAATATCATTGAAGCAAAAGGCTTATTATCAATATATTTGAAGAATATCGTAATAGATTTTGCTCAAAATAAACTACTGGTACTTTAAGACGAATTTTGAGTGCATGACTATAGGGCTTTGGTCTCGAAAAAACTTTGGTATTTTAGATGCCAGTAGGTTGTTTTCTTATGGAAGGTGGTTGCTTCATAGAGGTTGTCGCATATGGAGGCTTGTAGTCAGATTTAGTAAATTAAAGAAGAAATGCATGTCAAAACATATTAACCATGTAGTTTTTTTTTTCAGGTCAGTGCAGAGAATGGTGTTAGTGAAGCTAATACAATGATTGGTAGGTAAGGAAACTATGGTAAGATAAGTCACCACACCTATAAGAGTTGCTCTTTCTTTTCAATTTTAGGATTTAACTTGTTCCTTAACCCTTTCAATCCTAATAGTGGCCAAAGAAAAGATTCACAAAAAATTTAAATTTCTTTTTATAAAAGCCAAGTAGATAATTAACAATTAATGAATGAGGCTTTCGTATCTTATGAAGAATTATGGAGGTCGAGGAGGATGTTCTCCATCGAGGCCGTAGGCTGAGGCGGATAACACCCTCCAAGATCTCCATAATTCTTCATATGATACGAAAGCCGAATTCAATAATTGTTTTATTATCCATTCAAAATAATTCCTAGTTTAAAAACGTGGCTAAAACATGCTTCCCTCCATCAATCCATCGATGTAAAGTTCATCTTCAATAGTGCACGTTTAGGTTTGTCCAGCTCCGCAAATATTCTCCAAATAGCATATGTTGCCCTTCAAGTTGTCTTCTTGCTGTTCTTGCCATGTTTTCAGCTATTGTTTCACCTAGTTCTTGCTCTTGAAACGAGTGAAATGTGCGCCATTTTTCAAGTTCACAACCAAAACAACTCAACCTTGTCCCCAGGTCTTCTTGGTTAACGGTGCCTTAACCTGTGAAAAAAGCTGCATTTTTGATGTCATTTCCTTGTTAAACACAAAATTCTTTCAAATTTGGTCATCAGTAACTGGTTATGGTGGATTAAACGTGTACTTTTAGCCAATCAGAATCAGGAAAATATTTTGATTGAATAATAAATAGTATAATAAATTAACTAACATATATAGTATGTGCATTCTGATTGGTTAAAAACTTATGGTTTATTGTGCCATTAAACTCATAGAAAACTTAAAGTTATTTTATAAAAGAAATAGACCACACTTTCTATGGCTTTACCGGCATGACAACCCACTTGGGATGTTGGGAGAACACTCGAAAAGCTTGTTAATCACTCCCCTTTGGCTCATGATTTACCCGCGTGGGTTACCACGCCGGTAAACCTATAGAAAGTGTGGTCTATTGCTTAACTATGCAAAAGTGTAGCCAAATAGGTTTCATTTTAATGGCAACATCTTAGGTTTTCATCCACAAATTTAAAAGTTAGAGTGACAAATAATCTGGTCAAAACGTGGTACAGAAGTGAAAGGGCTACATACATACAGCAGAAAATAATGCCCCAAACAAGTAACAGAAGAACAGTGAAATCAATTTGCAGACTGTGAGAAGGCTCTCTTGTATTATGTGGGGAGTCAAGAGTGCTTGCTTGTAGGCCAGTCACACAGCTCTAAAGTTAAGTACTAGTTAAGACTCTAATATTTAGGTTTTTCATGTTGATATCAACTTTTCTATCACTTTGGTTACTGCCTATTAATGTGTAATGTGAAAAATTAGTGTGCTCGATATTAAATAATTTGACTGTGAAAATTTTGGTGTTTTGGATTGTTAGTCACCTATTAGAGGTTACCACTTACATGGACGTTGAACTTAAGCTGGTTTTTGGGAAGTAAGCCTGCCTGCCACCCAAAAAATAAATTCATCATTGACAGTTAAAATAAGTGAAATTTGCTGTAACTAAAATTAGTTGTAACCTATCAATAGACTTCTTCTAGACATAAGAAAATTAGGTTTAGTAGTAGGACGCATTAGGTGAAGTCACATCCTTGTTTCCTGTTGTTTTTAAAGGGAATATGTACACCACTGGTGAAGCAGGAAAAGTGGATCTTTCAAAGGCAGCTGAGTACTTCACAAAAGCTGCTGAGAAAGGTGCAGTACATGTTTTGTTATGATATGTGAACTGCCGCTTATCGCTCATAAGCCGTGGGCTTATGTGTCGTTGTAAGAGGTTTTAGGAGGGCTTATATCTGGAGGGGCTTGTATTTGAGAGGCCGGTCACTGGAATTAAAAAAAAGTGCTTCAAAACAAGCTGTAGCAGTGTAGATCAAATACATTCTCCATTTATTGGTTTTTGATTCATTTCAAGGATCAATTTAGCTTTCTGAGAAACTGCCCACGTACCCCTCCCCTAAGCCATCATTTTGCCTTAAGAGAGAAGTAAGTGTTAATGTTAGCTTAGGGGAAGGGTTGGTGGGCATTTTCCCCAGAAACCTAAATTGATCCCATTTCAATACAAGCTAGAGGATCCTAGAGGGGGGTTATATCCTGGGGGGCTTACAATCAGATGTATTTTTTTGTTTACAGGTAAATGGGCCTATAACCAAGGGGGGTGCTTGTAAGTGATAGTTTATGGTATCTGTTTGTTAAATCTCTTGAGATAGGTGACTCAACACCTTAAAGTTTAGAATTCTAAAAAAGGCAGGCCCTGCAAACCTAAAAAAGTCAGAGAAGCTGAAGGCCTCTCAAATTAAAAGCCCTGGGACTTCATTTTGAAATTTTACGTTTGTTAGTACTGACTTGACTCTTGCTGAACTTTCACTTGATGTGATTTTGTTTTTCAGTATACTGCTAGATGGGGTTTGATATTTAACTTGTATCACTTTTAAAAATGGTAGCGTTCATTATCACGGAATAAAACCGATTAGTCCATCCTGCAAAGTCTAGAATTATTTTTTCCTTACTCCTCAAATGGTGCTGTTTGCTGCATACTCCTTCGCATACTCAGGTACAACTGCAATGCTAAGACAATCACCACAACTTATCCAGCTCATCACCGACGATTTGTTTTTCCGAATTACTTTTTCTTTATTAATCGCTTCCAAAACAAATCGGATGAATAGATCATAGCATGTAAACCAGCCTTTATTCATCCTGAATGTATAAGTGTTTTGCACCAGTTTATTTTCTAGCATGCTTTCTGTTTGAAGATCATCGAACAGACTGGAAACTCTTCAGATTTGCAATACGTATAGTTTTCCACTTTTTCTGGCCACTCATTATTGTACTGACTCTTTTAACTCTTTTTTTTTTTGCCTTACTGGTCTTCCAGGTGACATTTCAGCTCTGATGTCTCTAGGTGCTTTTTACAGTCGAGGTACAGGAGTTAAACAGGATTATGAAAAATCCTTCAAGTGTTACAAAGCAGCAGCAGACCAAGGTATTACATAAG